AGTCCATGACACCCCCCTTAACGATGACTGCATTCCTGCACCACTCTCACTCCCTCTCTCAGGCTCCACGACGCCTTCTCATCTCTCTAAAGAACAATCTTGTATGCTTGGACAGATCACAACATTAATAGTTTAGATGAAACTCACAGATCTTCCACTTTACATAAGGCTCACACTCTCACTCACTCACTCACTCACACACACACACACACACACACACACACACACACACACACACACACACACACACACACACACACACCAGTTGATTGACAGTTGAGAGGCAGGACCAAAGAGCCGCAAGCACAACTAGGTGAGTACACATACATACCCCCATACACAGTTTCAATTGTAAATATGATGGAGCTCTTAGAAGCTCAGGAATCTATACACCAGTAGATTGACGATTGAGAGGCGGGACCAAAGAGCCGAAGCTCAACCCCCCCACAATCATAACTAGATGAGTACACACACACACACAGTTCTAGGGTATTCACCCCCATCGTGGAGCCTCCATTGCAAAATACATAAAAGGAAACTTGCTTTTATAGAGATCTGCAACGAGACTCGTCCCAGGATTGCCACGGACGGGGTATGGAGAAATACAGAAAGAACTGGTCCTAACATCGCTACCGACGTTAGCGAGGAAAAAAATATATATCGAGGAGCGACTTGAGAATGGTCCAGGACGGACCGAAACGTCGTCGTCCCTTCACCTTCTAGTGTGTGGTCTGGTCAATATATATCGAGGAATTATGTTAACATTGAGGGAGAAAAATTATAAGACATGTACAATACTTTGGGAGATTGATATAGCAATACAAAAGATGATGTTCACGATGAATACCAATACGACAAGAGGGCATAGATGATATCTTGAGACACAGAAGAGCCTTAGAGAGGTAGCAAATGTTCGTTTAGTATAATATAGTATTTTAACATAGAACGCACTATATGAACAGGTTGTAGAAGAAGACGCTATTCATATTCCCAAAAGAATATGATATTTAAATAAATTGGGAGCCGTTGCATTAGACAACCAGCAGGGAAGGAAGGTGGGGTACAAGAGCTAATGCTCGATCCTGTAGGCACAAACAGGAGAGTACACATACAGAGCCCTCTACTTACTCTAGTTCCCCCTTCACCATAACAAAGAAAACGAACATCGCTGGCGTGGTTACAGGAGGGTACAGCCCCTAGACATTTTTACATGCTGTATATTGAAAAAATGATGATATCCTAATAATGCACCCAGAGTCTGCCAGTGCAGACTACTTATCACATGCCTCTGTATGACTAACCATCCTGTGTGATGGGGACTTTTAGCATCACGTAGCTATCATTTTGACACACTGTACTCCTCTTCATATAGCCTAGGGCAGCTGCACAAATGCAAATGTACCTAAATGTGTAAATAAAAAAAATCCCAATCGCGAGCACTACAGGTGCAAACTCTGTGAACAGGAACTGGGTCATGATCTCACACACAACATTACTGGGTGTCCAGTCATTAGATCCGTCACACCTACCGGTATGAGGCCCCTGCATGAGCTACCTGGAGCTTTACAATCACTTTATCCCCTCCCTGTGTTCCTGAAGACATTATCATCATACTCTGAAAGTTCGTCAACACAGGCTATGGGCCACAATCACCTATGTGTCAAATCATCCTTGCGAGATGGTGGATTTGTTATGTTAATGTTAAATGATTAATGTTAAAAATCAGTGTTTATGTAAATTCTTAAAATATCATCTCATGCCACACCGTTCCTGTTGTTGGTATTCTGATTAATTAGCACTTGTATGGTCATTTCGGGGCGTGATGGTTACATGGAGTTGTTGTTGTTGTGTGTGTGTGTGTGTGTGTGGGCGTGTGTGTGTGTGTGTGTGTGTGAGTGTGTGTGTGAGTGTGTGTGTGTGTGTGTGTGTGTGTGGGCGTGTGTGGGCGTGTGTGTGGGCGTGCGGGGGAGGATGGTAGGTGAGCCAGCCAGGTAAAACATCACTCTCCGTCTCACTTGACCAACACCTGAGATAATTAAGGAAGACCTGGCCAGGCCGGCTGCCAAGGTCCACAGGTAACTACGCGAGGGCAAGGCCAGGGGGGGAAATCTAGGGGAAAGGGAGGGAAAAACGAAGGCATTGGAAAGGTGAGGGGAAATGAGGGGAAGGAGAGAAGGGAGATAGAGAAAAAAAGAGGAAAGGAAGGGTACTGAATGAGGGAAAGGGATGAGGAAGAGGGGTAAGGGGTAAAATAACCCAGTTAGGTCATAATCACATTTCTGTACACAATCCCCCAGATGCGAGACGTCGAGGAATTCAACCTGAAGAAGTTAACACATAATACACAATTTATACTTGGATATTAATGAACAAATCCACAAGGGCCGTGACGAGGATTCGAACCTGCGTCTGGGATCCTCTCGGACGTAAGTTCGAACCCTCGTCACGGCCCTTGTGGATTTGTTCATTTGATGCATCACGCTATTGTGATTTCTGTGTGTACTTGAATATTATTTATATATCGTGTGAAGTGTGTAATGCAGGCGATGAGTCACAATAACGTGGCTAAAGTAAGTTGACCAGACCACACACTAGAAGGTGAAGGGACGACGACGTTTCGGTCTAGGACGGACCGAAACGTCGTCGTCCCTTCACCTTCTAGTGTGTGGTCTGGTCATCAAGTGTGTAATATTGTTGGTTATCTTGAGGTTATCTTGAGATGATTTCGGGGCTTTAGTGTCCCCGCGGCCCGGTCCTCGACCAGGCCTCCACCCCCAGGAAGCAGCCCGTGACAGCTGACTAACACCCAGCTACCTATTTTACTGCTAGGTAACAGGGGCATAGGGTGAAAGAAACTCTGCCCATTGTTTCTCGCCGGCGCCTGGGATCGAACCCAGGACCACAGGATCACAAGTCCAGTGTGCTGTCCGCTCGGCCGACCGGCTCCCAACCAAAAAAGGTAACCCAAAACATGTAACTTTCGGGATTACCTTCAGGTTACCTTGATGTTACCTTAAGGTTACGTTGAGGATACCTTAAGGTTACGTTGAGGATCTATCTTGAGGTTATCTTGAGATGATTTCGGGGCTTTTTAGTGTCCCCGCGGCCCGGTCCTCGACCAGGCCTCCACCCCCAGGAAGCAGCCCGTGACAGCTGACTAACACCCAGGTACCTATTTTACTGCTAGGTAACAGGGGCTTAGGGTGAAAGAAACTCTGCCCAATGTTTCTCAATAATAATGGATACCTTAAGGTTACGTTGAGGATACCTTAAGACTACCTTGAGGCAATCTTGATTTAACAAATGGGAATGTAGTAATGGGAAGCAATGGAAATATAAGAATTTATACTCTAAATTTTACACTCTAATTTAATTATCTCTTTAGTCTTTCACTCCCTGTCCACTAAGTAGGGAAGGTGAAAGACCGTCACCCCCCAGATCTTAAGGTAGACTTACCTTAATTAATTAAGGTAATAATTATATTATTATCTTAATTATAAGGTAATATCGTTATCTTCTGGTAATTTTTTGTAAATCTTAGTTCCTCTAAAAATGGAAGTGACCGACTACTGATAACACGAATCACCTTCTGTGGTTGAGTGTTCAATAAACCCCTGAACACATCTCTAACCCTGTCCATGGAGGACAGAAGAAAATGTATATATGCTGGTTAGCATTGTAACTGTGTGGCCACGTCTGTGGTAGAAAATTATAAAAAAAAAAAAAAAAAAAATAATAAACAGCTTTACATCACAGACGACATCACTCACACGTAGCCAGTGTTGTGTTCATAGTTCATATATACAATGCTAAATGCTTGCAATCTCAGGGATACAGTTCATTTGTGTAGCAACTCGGTTTTTGATCAGTGACTCAGCTAGTAGTAATATCTTTGTTGAGTTAATGAAGTTTAATATTAAATATATTTGGCGAGTTAACCTTGCGTTTAATATTAAATATATTTGGCGAGTTAACCTTGCGTTTAATATTAAATATATTTGGTGAGTTAACCTTGCGTTTAATATTAAATATATTTGGTGAGTTAACCTTGCGTTTAATATTAAATATATTTGGTGAGTTAACCTTGCGTTTAATATTAAATATATTTGGTGAGTTAACCTTGCGTTTAATATTAAATATATTTGGTGAGTTAACCTTGCGTTTAATATTAAATATATTTGGTGAGTTAACCTTGCGTTTAATATTAAATATATTTGGTGAGTTAACCTTGCGTTTAATATATAATATATTTGGTGAGTTAACCTTGCGTTTAATATTAAATATATTTGGTGAGTTAACCTTGCGTTTAATATTAAATATCTAATATGCAAGAAAGTGAGTTTGATGTTTTCACAAAATATTACATAGATATAACAAGTTGGAAAACATCTCATTTTATCTATACAGAAAATGAGTGGTGGTAACCTACCCCCTTTCCCTAACGTCCCTATTTAATGGGTAAGGGTATATGGTCCCTCTCCACCCCCCCCCCCCGTTCACTAGTGTTATCATTTTTTTTTATTATTATTTTCTACCACAGACGTGGCCACACATTTACAATGCTAACCAGCATATATACATTTTCTTCTGTCCTCCATGGACAGGGAGACAGAGATGTGTTAAACATATAGTTTAGGGGTTTATTGAACAATCAACCACAGAAGGTGAAGGCTGCCAGGCGCGGCAGCACTTACACTGTCTACGACAAGTCTACGCACACCCGTACTGTGAATCCATCGTTAGAGTCTGCCTACGTTTTCTGTGCATCGTACTCAATAGGTTAGGTGGGGTTGCTTGGGGGGTCGTACGTTTGGTTTACGAGGTTGGATTGTTTATGGAAAGGCAAAGGATTGTTTATATTGTGTTTGTTCGAGGAAGAGGCGGAGGGAATGAGTGAGTATCTAATGCACCATTTGCTCACTTCCTTGTACTAGAAGTTTTAAATGCTAAATAGAGTTTACTATTTTAATAAATGCCTCTTTTGTTCTCTCTCTCTGCAGCGACGTCGTGGGTGAGAGGGCAGGATCAGGACTCAGCGTTCCAGGACTCCACATTCCATCACATCTCTGGCACCGCCCTGCCCTTTGTCTTCCCCAGCTTCCCTACATTTTCCCCAGCCGCACCGAAGGCCTCCCCGAATCACGGCGCCCCTTTCACCGGGAGCCTTCAGGCCAATGGGAATCCTTCTCGTGTTAGTATCGGTAACCCCAATGAAAAGCCGATAGTTACAGATCATTTCCAGGGTCCAGCTACTGGTATCCCGCTGGATATTGGTCTAAGTGCCCTTAGTCAACCATCAAACCTTCCAGCATTCCCCAAGTCTTCGTCAGCCTCTCCTGTTGGAGAAGACCTTCAGAGTGCGGGAGACGATATTTTTAATGCTTCGGAAGATCTCGTCAACACAAACGATGATGTTAAAAAAGATGTCCTTGATCCAGCGGCAGAGTTCCTTCAGGCAGCCTCCACAACACAAGCGACTCAATCATCACTAACTACAACACCACCACCATCAACAACAACAAGTCCAAGTACCTTTTCAAGTACAACAGAGGCGTCAACACCACCACCACCAACAACAGAGCTCTCTTCAACATCAACAACAGAGGTCTCCTCAGCACCACCAACAACAGAGTCCTCCGTAACACCACCAACTTCCACAACATCAACAACTGTTACAATAGAAGTGGAAACAACTACAACTACAACTCCTGAACCATCTACTACAACTAAATCTCCTAAAATATTCCCGGGGACGCTCAGAAAGAACGAGGATGCTACTGCAGCTGGGGCCGGGAGTAGTGACGAACTCTTGGGCCAAGCACCACCCTCAGGGTCCCGTGGATCATTAGCTTCTCGCCTTAAAATGTTTGCCACGCGCCGTAGCAGCCCAGGAACACGGCAGGAGAAGAGGAACCCTGACATCAAAGATGCTCCTCAGGGCCGACAATCCCTAAGCTTGGCAGAAATTCTGGAAGCACGTAAAGCTGCGGCCAGTCGTGGCTCCTCACTCGGCAGTAACCTCGAGCGGCAAGCTGTCCTTCCCCGTCCTAATTTACAGAAATTAAAAAATTCTATTCGTGCGGGTCAACAAGCGGAGCCTAAAAGTGACCAGGAAAATGATTATGATCAAAATATTGGTCAGGAAGACTCTGATTACAGCCAGGGCAATTTTGACCAAAGCAACTTAAGATCATCTACTGCGACAACTTCGTCCACGAGAGCGCCGCCATTTTCTCCTTCACTGTCTGAAAATCGTCAACGAAAGAGAAGGCCTGAGTTACACTCTACTTCGCAGGCACTCATGGACCGTCTTCGCAAACTGCGAGAGATGCGTCTAAAATCCACCCCATCCCCAGCCACCTCCACAATACAACCTCGACGATCCTCTCCTGAGAAATCCGAAAAGTCTTTACTTCAGTCAGGCACCGAGGATTCAACAAATTCCAGGCAAGAACTCACTACCAGGAACTCGAATTCTCGCTGGAGACCGAGCCAGAGGAGGACGAGTGATAACTTCAAACAAAGGTTGAGAAATCGTGTCTTCACAACCCCTACCCCGGGTGATAACACCACGGATGGCACCCAGGAGAACAACGGCACAGCGGTGTTGAACTCTTCGGTACCCTTCACCACCAGAAAACCATTCAGTCTAATACAGATTTTAACCACCACGAAGCCTCCCACTTTTCGAGAAAGATTTAATGAATTCAGAAAGTCAAACAGATTTATACCAAAAAACAGACGAAGAACAGCTTCCCTGGTGACGTCCACCACACCGTTGAACACAGCAACAACGGGAGACGACCACAGCACCATACAAGACCCTGACTACGACGATGTCACTGAGCAAACCCCTGTTTTCCATGAAGTCACCGAGGCTACTATTACACCTGCACCCATTAAGCGCACTCCCATAACATTTGCACCCATTAAGCGCACTCCAATAACATTTGCACCCATTAAGCGCACTCCAATAACATTTGCACCCATTAAGCAGAATCCTGTTACACCTGCAATCAGTTGGCTCACTTCCACTAAGCGTACTCCTGTTCGAACTGCATTCACAGAATCAACAGCTTTGTCCAAAGTGCAACAAATCCGGGAGAGGATTGCTGCAATGTTGAGTTCCAGGGGACTCTCCAAAATCACAACAACTGAGGAAGTTATATCAATTTTGGAGGAAGTAACAGAGAGACCACTGATCAGCGAAACCAGAGACTCGTCCTTACAATCACCTGCTCACTTCGGTGTTACCTCCAACCCGGTGGTGTCCATCCGAATTTCAGATGTAGACAGCACCTCCAGAAAAATTCCTCTTGACCATCTTTTGTCATCAATCATAGACGCAATAAGTACTTCAGAACTGCCCGCTACCACTCAAGACTACACCTCGTCTGATGCCCCCAGCTCCTCCACAAAGGCCGACCACGACACAGTGTTCTTTGCCCCAAAAGAGTCTAGAACACCGTCAGAACCGGTTTCAGTTGTATCTTTATCAATGAGCACTTCTAATGACTCCACTTCAAATCCAACTCCCCAAAAAGTCTTTACAGATTATGAAGAGACAAGTGATTTTGACATTGTAACAACTATTCAACGTACGACGCAAGAAGCCTCAACGGAAGCTCCGGTCCAAGAAGTAAACACAGACGTGAATGAGTCTGGTCTTGGACTGGGAGAAGACTCTGTGCAACCATTCATCCCTCTGCCTGATGCCACAACATCATCAACAACGGTTCCTCCAAGAACTGCTGGTTTTCTGATGAGCACCAACGGGGCGACCACCACAACACAAGCACCATCACCAACCTTAACCACCACAACACAAACACTAACATCGTCAACAACAACATCGACAACAACAACACCCTCAACATCAACAACAACAGAACCAACAACAACAACAGAACCAACAACTACAACAGAACCAACAACAACAACAGAACCGACAACAACAACAACAGAACCGACAACAACAACAACAGAACCGACAACAACAACAGAACCGACAACAACAACAACAGAACCGACAACAACTACAACAGAACCGACAACAACTACAACAACAACAACAGAACCAACAACAACAACAGAACCGACAACTACAACAACAACAGAACCAACAACAACAACAACAGAACCCACAACTACGACAACAACAGAACCGACAACAACAACAGAACCGACAACAACAACAGAACCGACAACAACAACAACAGAACCGACAACAACTACAACAGAACCAACAACAACAACAGAACCGACAACAACAATGACAACAACAGAACCGACAACAACAACAACAGAACCACCACCAACAACAACAACAACAACAGAACCCCCACCACCACCAACAACAGAACCAACAACTACAACAGTTCTAACACCATCAGCCACAACACAGTCACCAGACGACGTCACATCTGGTGATGCCCACATTCAGGACCTGATCTCCACGTTGATCTCTCAAAGAGTCATCACAAAAATCAGAGAAACAGCAAACCAATCAAAACACAATATACCAACCGACGCTCAGGCAGTGGGAACAACTCCTGAAGAAGAAGAAGTTGTTACAACCCTGGGAACATCAACAGAAGCCCTGACGTCCAATAACAACGATGGGAAAACAACAATTTTCCTGGAATTTGATACCGCAACATCTGATACCGGTTCAGCCATCGGCTTTGGTAAGAGTGACGACGCTTCGGACGCAGTGAGGACACTGGAGGAAAGTGAAAACCTGGCGACAAGTTGGATACCCGCAACGACGACATTTACGCCCCCAACGCAGAGGAGTCTCACAACCTCTACATTGTCATCGCATTTCAGAATCCCACTGTGGCCCAACAGATCACCCACAAATGCACCCATCCAAAGATCTAACAAATTTCCTTTCTCTAACAACCCTCTGGTATCGACGGTGAAGATGATAGATACCACAACCAGGTTCAACCATAGAGCATCAGAAGTGGTGACTGACATGCCAACCACAACACCGATCACACAAAGCCAAGATGACACTTTACTTGACTACGATCACTTTGAGATTTCATCTGCAGTTCGAGTCACAGAACCGTCTCCCCTGCCGGAGATCACATCAGGTGATGAGAATGAGGTTGATATTTTTCATTCCATGGATAATTTCCAAACGTTGAAACGCGGCTTTGACAGAACATCTACTCGGCCTGAACTTGCAGCTTTGAATCACGTTCTTGGTATCACTTTGACCACAACCACAGAGCAAGCCGATCTATCAGAGATTAATCTTGAGAAACCCGAAGTATCGCATGACTACATATATGATGACCTGGAGCCAGCAGCCACGGAGGAGGTCATCTATACTACCAGTCAAGGGATGCCCTCAGCCCTGGGTGTCCATGGACAGCTGGGAACGGAAACCACTACAGGTGTCTTAGGCATGGTCACCACTGAAGAAGATGTACCAACTATGCTTAACATGGACGTGGCATCCCTCACTGTTTCCGAGCCTTCTTGGAAAGTTCTGAACGTTGCTGAAGTTACAGAGTCCTCTGATATGGCCAAAGATCCTTCTTCAACGAAAACAGAGAATGAAACTATTGGTGATTTTCCAAAAACACCCGGAGCCCAAGACGTCCAATTTAATTCACGTTTCTCGGATACTACAGGATCAGATGTAAAGCTCTTGTGGCCTAGTTCTTCAAAGGACACCAGAACAGCAGCAGCTTCTACAGGCCAGACCTTCGTCGATACGTCAGCTGTGCAGGTGTCAGTATCTCCGACTCCCAGGGAGTTGTCAATACTCCACCAAACACATCCCAGCCGTCGTCGTAGCTCACAAGAACAAACCACACATGCTGGATTCTCCTTTCCAATTTCTCGACATAAAGTATCTAACGAAAATATCACCAGCACTTCTGAAGGGTCTTCAAGTCCCGCCACAGGTTTCTTAAATTCGGCAGAGCGGGAAAAATTTCATCATCAGCGACTCATGCGAGACCGAGGAAGAGTCAGAGAGGGACCGACGTTCAGACCGAACCTATCTCAGCGGAGAGCTAATTTTGTTCCTCTTGAACAGCTGAGATCCACATCAGAAAGTCCCTCAACGACAACCTCCAATGGCAAATTGAGTCTCAGTGAACTCATCAGTCAAAGAAATTCACAAGAGAAGATCACTCGAACGCCCACAGTTAGGACAACTGAAGCTCAAACCTCATTTGGCAGTAATTTTACTTGGCATAACAATACCCTGCAGCATCCTCCAGTCAACACACGGCTTAACCACACTACCATCACCGCAACGCCGGCTACACAAACTCAAACGCAAGCTACAGCTTTACCAAATGCCGATAACCCTGATGCTAAAGACTCCAATAAGGCTTTATTGAGGTTTTTGGCTTTAAACAGACAGGCGTTAAAATTATTGGCTGCCAAGAAAAACGCATCCGCCTCAGTTCCTCAAGACACCACAGAGACGCCCACATCTGACCACTTCACTACCACATCGGAGATACCCTTAAGTCACAGCTTCACTACCACATCGGAGAGTTCTATAAGGCACAGCTTCACTACCACAACGGAGAGTCCTATAAGGCACAGCTTCACTACCACAACGGAGAGTCCTATAAGGCACAGCTTCACTACCACAACGGAGAGACCTATAAGTCACAGCTTCACTACCACAACGGAGACACCCATAAGTCACAGCTTCACTACCACAACGGAGACACCCATAAGTAACAGCTTCACTACTGCCAGGATAACAAGCACAACTGGCAGCTTCACTACTGACTTGCCAGAGACAACAACTGAGTCCATGCCGACAACTACAACTAGATTTCAGAGTGTTACACACAGAGCAAGACCTCGACACAGAGTTCCACCTGGTGTGAAAAGTTCAACGAGAATTTCTGAGGTAATTCCTCAAGGGAGAGTAAGAAATCCAGTTACTTCAGACAGTTTGAACTCACAAGTAATCAGTGGAGGCCGTCCAACGTCTTTCCTGAGGCCTGTTCCTTCACCCAGGCCATTCAGCGTTATGTTTAATGATCCCTCGGCACAGAGCGAGGATCTAACATTCACACTGCCGGAGGATGAAGCTTTCTCACACGCGTCTCACTCATCCATTAGGCTCGCAAGTCTTCCTCCCAGGTTCCGCGTCCCTCAGACCAATCGCTCACTAGTTCCTCCTAATTTCCAGACAGGACATCCTATACCTCCCACGAGGTTCTCGACTTCTCAGCCACCACAGGAAATTCGTCCAAGAATACACGTCCCTCTTTCGCCTACACCTCGCCCAATGAGGATCAAAGAAGTCGCAGCTGGAAGACATCACGAAACAAGACGTCCATCGCTGTTAATTCCCTTGACGACAATAGAATCAAACTCAAAAGAAAGCATCACTCTGCCGCAAGATACAGTTGAGGACAAAACGAGAAGAACAACAAAGTTTTTTAAAACAAAACAACAGGAATTGGAAGCTGCAACGACTACGTCACCAGGTGAAGATGAAGTCACTACTTTAGCATCTCTCTTAAACACACAAAGAGTTCAACAAGAGAGATTTAATTTTCAAGAGAGAATTACTACATTTAGGCCAACGACAACACAAATTCCAGAAACAACGACACCACTCGACGACGTTATTTTTGGCCCACTTATTACTGTAGGTGAGGTAGAGAGCACGACTTTCCCACAAAACTTTGATGATACGTCAACTTTTACAGACCTTGATGAAACTACAAGAAGTTTAATTGATAAAACTTTAACTTTTCAGTCAGGCAGGACGACCATCTCGACAACAGAGGGCATGACATCGGCTCACGTTCCTCCACCTTTCAACTTCTTGAGGAAACAAGGAATAAAATCTCCAACTATCACGACCCTAAGATCGTCCCAATCATTCATTCCACGAGAAACAACCCAAGTATTCCCACACAAGGAATTTGGGCGTTCTCACCACTCTACAACATTCAAACCCCGATCTAGACCCATATTTATTGACCCAGAAACAACAATCCCACCTGTCACTCCTCTGCTGGAACTAGAGTCACTAGATCCACCAAGAACATTCCCAACTGTTGAGGCTGGTAGCTTTGAGACTTCAGCCACAACCATCTCTCCCATTTTTTCACCTACAACTTTTTTTGAACCAGAAACTGAAACAACAACTTCACCTAAATCAGCTTTTGACTTTGGATCATCACGGCCTCCAACGTTCAATTTCCAGCCTCAAAAAAGTTTACTGGAATCAACTTCAACACAGCAATCGTTCTTGCCCACTGCGAGGCCTACTGGAGCTATCTTCAGGGCTCACTCGAGCTTCTCGTCTAGACGACCACCGGTGGACAACAAGCAACCACAGCTGACTACAACTGCCAGGCCTCAACAGACAACCTCGATTCCTGATCAAAACGAAGCATTTTTTGCTGAAGAAGACCCTCCTTGCCATTTATGTCAGGGAAGCGAGCCAAAAACAACGACGCTGGAGCCACAAGTTTCTGAAAATCCAATAAACACAACGTCCGTCAGTGCCGTAACGCCCAGAATTATACTCTTATTGCCACTCGGGAATTCGACGATTTTCTCAGGAAGAGCTCTTCCTTTTCCAAACATCCCCCCAGAAAGTGCCCTTCCCTTTCCAAGCACCCTCTCAGGAAGCGCAGTTCCCTTTCCAAGAACCCTCTCAGAAAGTTCTCCCACCCATACAAGCCCCCTCACCAACTTACCACCTGCTGATAGCTCAGGAGACAGCGGGGTAACAACTCTGCATCACAAGAAATCGACATTTTCCCCAGACGACGGCCTCACCACGGCAACACAACAAAAGGAACTAATCCAGGTCAATTCAACCGAAGGTTTTCTCAGCAGGGACTCTCTGGTTCCCCCACCTCCACTGAGGCACATGATAACAAAGGGCGTGACTATCACCTCAGAAGAAGGAATCATATCCAGGAACGTGCTCATTCTACCACCCACTCAGGAGCAGCAACAGGAACATCAAACCTCACGACAGCATCGGACCTTACAGCATCCTCAAGAAAATCTTCAAGTAAAACATGAAAGCTTTCAAACGACACAACAAAACCTTAAAAGTACACAACACATCTTTGAAGGAACACATAAGAATGTAGACGTGGAACAGAGCACAACAGGGAAAGGAAGCTTCCAAAGTGGGGAACAGAACCTACGAGGAGAGCAAAGAGGCTTCCAAGAAGAACAGCAGACCTTTCAGAAAGAACAGAGCCCACAAGGGGTGCCAAATAAAATCCTTAATGGAGATCATCAAAATATCCAACAAGACCTTCGGAACCACCAGCAGGTTAATCAGAACTTCAAACATCAGAACCTTCAGCAGGGTCACCAGAACATCCAACAAACAACACATCAGAGCCTAGATCAAAACCTTCAACAAGGACACCTAAACCTCAACCAAGGAGTTCACCAAAATATCCAACAACAAGATCATCAAAATACCCAACAACGAGGTCATCAAAATATTCATCAGGGAGGAAATCAAAACTTCCAACAAGAACCACATCGAAATCTGCATAGACCTAAAATCTTCGAAGTGCAGCAACAGCAGCAGCAGCAGCAACAGCAACAGGAGCAGCAGAACTCGCAAGGAGGGCAGAAAATAATTCACGGACAACAGAGTCTTCACAACAAACAGAACTTCCAAGGAACCGATCAAATTCTGGAAGATCACCAGAACATCAATGGGAAGCAACACATAGTGCAGGATGAAGATCAGAGGCTTCAGGTTGTGCAGAAAAGCCTCAGTAACAGGCCTCACACATTCCAACAAATCCAAGAGACAAATATTGGAGGCCAACAAACATTCCAAGAAGGCAAAAAGACATTTCAGGATAGCCAGCAGGTATTCCAGAATAGTCAAAGCCATGGTCGCCAGAGATTGCAGCCTAAACTAAAGAACCTTCAAGATGAGCACAATATCCAGGAAAGCCAACAGACAATTCGACACAGACTGCAAAACCCTCAAGATGAACAAAGTAATTTCCAGAAAGGTCAAGGGGAGATCAACCAAAGAGATCAGAACACTCATGAACTGCAACAGAAGAATCACAATTTTCAACAGACCTTCCAGAATGGCCAACAAAGGTTCCAAGGACAAGATAATCACAGGGGAGAGACAATCCAAAATGGGAAACAGGTAAACCTTAGAGGACAACAGATCACCCAAGGTGGACAGCAGAACAGCCGTATGGGGCAACAGAGTAGCCACAGAGGCGAACACAGCAGCAGAGGGAGACACAATAGCAACAGAGGGGAACATATCAACAGCAACGGGGAACAGAGGAACAGTAGAGGGGGAGACAATAGTAACAGCAGAGGAGGAGACAACAATAACAGAAGTGAACAGAACAACAGCAATGATGAACAGAGCAACAGTAGAAGGAAACAGAATAACGGCAGGGGTGAACAAATAAATAGAAACGGAAATCAAAGCAACCTCAGAGGGCAACAGAGGACGTCTGGAGGCCAAACCCATCAACCCGGGTCTCAGCAACACCTCCCAAGAACCCAGCAGAACCTCTCCAGCTCCCAGCAGAACCTCCCAAGGACCCAACAGCACTTCCCTGGACGACGACCATCAGCACACCATTCGGGGTCGAGGGGTCGCATGGGTCACTTCGTCAACAAAGCCGCCGGCTTTATTGCTGGCCCAGCCGATGCCATCATCACCGGCTTTGGGAGCAGCAACGGGGAAAGCTTTCCTACGGGCGTGGCTAGCAGTCAACCTTCCTCCTCATCCTTTTCGTCGGCTCAGGTTCCTCTCCGGATTGTATTTAACGTTGCTAATTCACATACGCTTAATGACAAAGTTAACAATGGAGCTGGAATAACTAACCCGCCAACTACCTCTTTACCAATAACTAATCCGCCATCAACTACCTCTTTCATTCCTAACTTTAAGATGCAAACAACTCGATTTTTTCATAACCCCATAACTGAGAAACCACAGTCTCAAAAGCACATTTCTATTCCCAGCACCACACTCTCACCTCCGCTGCGCTCAACGCCTCGCTTTCTTCCCCAGAGGCCCACGTCCCCGACCCGAGCACCTGTAGGGGCTTCTCACATTAGCTTCACTCCCTCACACTCCTTGGAGAAGGCTGCAGTTCCAGTGGCGTCTCAGAACATTATAGTACCCTCTCCGCTTCTTCTTCCTCCTGAGGACTCTCGAGGTTCGTCCGATAATGCACAAACCTCAGCGTTCCAGAGGCCCTTGGCCAGAAAGACGCCAGCCATGTCCCACACACGAAACAATAACAAAAACATGTTTTCTTCCCCTTCTTTTTCTACTTCTTCACATTCCACTCTCAATTCTCCTGGTAATAATTTTCACCAACATCGCACTTCGACTCGTTTCAGGCCTCGGCTTCCATCGACTCAGCAGTTCAAGTCGACGACAATTAACGACTCACCTCGCTCGACGACCCTGGGAGATCGACATGCCGACCTCTCAAGGGAACCTGCTCTAAACGCATTCCTTGACACATCCTCGTTTAGAGAGAGAGCCCCACAGACCACACGAGAGCCTCAGAATAGCAGCAATAGATTGTCCACTGGAAGCGCCCAGAAGCCATCCTCCACTACCTCCCTCCCTCCCAGTGTCTTCTTGACCACAACTACTGTACAAACTACCATTAACTCTCACCAGTCAGCCTCTCCAGCCTCCCACAGTACTTCCTCTCCCACTTCCCATAGTACTTCTTCCCCTACCTTCCACAGTACTTCCTCTCCAGCCTCCCACAGTACTTCCTCTCCAGCCTTCCACAGTACTTCCTCTCCAGCCTCCCACAGTACTTTCTCTCCAGCCTCCCACAGTACTTTCTCTCCAGCCTCCCACAGTACTTCCTCTCCAGCCTCCCACAGTACTTCCTCTCCAGCCTCCCACAGTAATTTCTCTCCTACTTCCCACAGTACTTCCTCTCCCACTTCCCATAGTACTTCCTCTCCAGCCTTCCACAGTACTTCCTCTCCAGCCTCCCACAGTACTTCTTCCCCTACCTCCCACAGTAATCTCTCTCCTACTTCCCACAGTACTTCTTCCCCTGCCTCCCATAGTACTTCCTCTCCAGTCTTTCACAGTACTTCCTCTCCCACCTCACACAGTACTTCCTCTCCAGTCTTCCACAGTACTTCCTCTCCCACCTCCCACAGTACTTCCTCTCCCACCTCCCACAGTACTTCCTCTCCCACCTCCCACAGTACTTCCTCTCCCACCTCCCACGGTACTTCCTCTCCAGTCTTCCACAGTACTTCCTCTCCCACCTCACACAGTACTTCCTCTCCAGCCTTCCACAGTACTTCCTCTCCCACCTCCCACAGTACTTCCTCTCCAGCCTTCCACAGTACTTCCTCTCCAGCCTCCCACAGTACTTCCTCTCCAGCCTCCCACAGTACTTCCTCTCCAGCCTCCCACAGTACTTCCTCTCCCACCTTCCACAGTACTTCCTCTCCAGCCTCCCACAGTACTTCCTCTCCAGCCTCCCACAGTACCTCCTCTCCCACCTCCCACAGTACTTCTTCTCCCACCTCCCACAGTACTTCCTCTCCAGCCTCCCACAGTACTTCCTCTCCAGCCTCCCACAGTACCTCCTCTCCCACCTCCCACAGTACTTCTTCTCCCACCTCCCACAGTACTTCCTCTCCAGCCTCCCACAGTACTTCCTCTCCCACCTCACACAGTACTTCCTCTCCAGCCTCCCACAGTACTTCCTCTCCAGCCTCCCACAGTACCTCCTCTCCCACCTCCCACAGTACTTCTTCTCCCACCTCCCACAGTACTTCCTCTCCAGCCTCCCACAGTACTTCCTCTCCCACCTTCCACAGTACTTCCTCTCCCACCTCCCACAGTACTTCCTCTCCAGCCTCCCATAGTACTTCCTCTCCAGCCTCCCACAGTACTTCCTCTCCCGCCTCCCACAGTACTTCCTCTCCAGTCTTCCACAGTACTTCCTCTCCAGTCTTCCACAGTACTTCCTCTCCAGTCTTCCACAGTACTTCCTCTCCCACCTCCCACAGTACTTCCTCTCCCACCTCCCACAGTACTTCCTCTCCAGCCTTCCGCAATACTTCCTCTCCCACCTTCCACAGTACTTCCTCTCCCACCTTCCACAGTGCTTCCTCTCCCACCTCCCACAGTACTTCCTCTCCAGCCTCCCACAGTACTTCCTCTCCAGCCTCCCACAGTACTTCCTCTCCCTCCATCCACTTGATCTCTCCCACTATCGATTCTATCTTCTCTCCCACCTCCCACAGTATTTCCTCTCCCATCATCCATTCAATCTCCTCACCCACCTCCCACAGTATTTCCTCTCCCAATTCCCATTCTACTGCCTCTCCCACCTTCCACACTACTTTCTCTCCCACCTCCCACAGTACTTCCTCTCCCACCTCCCACAGTACTTCCTCTCCAACCTCCCACAGTATTTCCTCCCCCACCTCCCACAGTATTTCCTCCCCCACCTCCCACAGTACTTCCTCTCCCACCTCCCACAGTACTTCCTCTCCAACCTCCCACAGTATTTCCTCCCCCACCCCCCACAGTATTTCCTCCCCCACCTCCCATAGTACTTCCTCTCCCACCTCCCACAGTATTGCCTCTCAAGCCTCCCACAGTACTTCCTCTCCCACCTCCCACAGTATTTCCTCTTCCACCTTCCACAGTACTTCCTCTCCCACCTCCCACAGTACTTCCTCTCCCACCTTCCACAGTACTTCCTCTCCCACTACTTTCTCTCCAGCCTCCCACAGTACTTCCTCTTCCACTACTTCCTCTCCCACCTCCCACAGTACTTCCTCTCCCACCTCCCACAGTACGTCCTCTCCCACCTTCCATAGTACTTCCTCTCCCACCTCCCACACTATTTCCTCTCCCACCTTCCACAGTACTTCCTCTTCCACCTCCCACAGTACTTCCTCTCCTACCTCCCACAGTACTTCCTCTCCCACCTTCCACAGTACTTCCTCTCCCACCTCCCACAGTACTTCCTCTCCCACCTCCCACACTATTTCCTCTCTCACCTCCCACAGTACTTCCTCTTCCACCTCCCACAGTACTTCCTCTCCTACCTCCCACAGTACTTCCTCTCCTACCTCCCACCGTACTTCCTCTCCCACCTCCCACAGTACTTCCTCTCCCACCTTCCACAGTACTTCCTCTCCCACCTCCCACAGTACTTCCTCTCCTACCTCCCACAGTACTTCCTCTCCCACCTTCCACAGTACTTCTTCTCCAGTCTTCCACAGTACTTCCTCTCCAGTCTTCCACAGTACTTCCTCTCCCACATCCCACAGTACTTCCTCTCCCACCTTCCACAGTACGTCCTCTCCCACCTCCCACAGTACTTCCTCTCCCACCTCCCACAGTACTTCCTCTCCCACCTTCCACAGTACGTCCTCTCCCACCTCCCACAGTACTTCCTCTCCCACCTCCCACAGTACTTCCTCTCCCTCATCCCAGTCTCACCACCATCCCACCTCCAACCCGTCCCAATCATCCCAATCTCACCACCATTCCATTTCCAACCCGTCCCAATCATCCCAGTCTCACCACCATCCCACCTCCAACCCGTCCCAATCATCCCAGTCTCACCACCATCCCACCTCCAACCCGTCCCAATCATCCCAGTCTCACCACCATCCTACCTCCAACCCGTCCCAATCATCCCAGTCTCACCACCATCCCACCTCCAACCCGTCCCAATCATCCCAATCTCACCACCATTCCATTTCCAACCCGTCCCAATCATCCCAATCTCACCACCATCCCATTTCCAACCCGTCCCAATCATCCCAGTCTCACCACGATTCCATTTCCAACCCATCCCAATCATCCCAGTCTCACCACCATTCCATCAACAACCCGTCCCAATCATCCCAGTCTCACCACCATCCCATTTCCAACCCATCCCAATCATCCCAGTCTCACCACCATCCCACCTCTAACCCGTCCCAATCATCCCAATCTCACCACAATTCCATTTCCAACCCGTCCCAATCATCCCAATCTCACCACCATCCCATTTCCAACCCGTCCCAATCATCCCAATCTCACCACCATCCCATTTCCAACCCGTCCCAATCATCCCAGTCTCACCACCATCCCATCAACAACCCATCCCAATCATCCCAGTCTCCCCACCATCCCACCTCTAACCCGTCCCAATCATCCCAATCTCACCACAATTCCATTTCCAACCCGTCCCAATCATCCCAATCTCACCACCATCCCATTTCCAACCCGTCCCAATCATCCCAATCTCACCACCACCCCATCTCCAACCCGTCCCAATCATCCCAATCTCACCACCAACCCATTTCCAACCCGTCCCAATCATCCCAGTCTCACCACCATCCCAATCACCAACCCACTGTTCTCCCATCCGTTCTTCGAGACCTCAACCACCATCAAAGCTCCTCCCACATCACTCCACCAGCAACCGTCCTCACTCCACCACCCGCCTTCGCATCGACACCCACCACCCACCATCATCACTCCACTATCACCCAACCATCCACCACAATCGCCCAATCATCCACCACAAACGCCCAACCACCCACCACAATCGCCCAACCACCCACCACAATCGCCCAACCATCCACCACAATCACCCCACCAACAATTCCCTTCTCAGCCTCCCTGGCCCCAAACCCACTGAATATTCGAGTCATACCCAAGCTGTCCCTAGACTTCCAGGTCCCTGATAAGCCGTTCAAGAATGGCGGGAATATCCACTTCTTCGACTCCCCAGCTGATAGAAACCGACCGGTTTTCTTTGGCTCACGACGCACCTCCGTCCCCAGGAGACTAACCCCGACCCCCGTGCCCAGGAGACTAACCCCGACCCCCGTGCCCAGGAGACTAACCCCGAACCCCGTGCCTAGGAGACTGATCCCGACCCCCGTGCCCACTAGACCCCCACCAACGACACCTCAATCAGACCTCCACAACACCCTTCGGCCTTTTGCGGTCCCAGAGAGCACGCAGCGAGGTACTGATCCAAATAATCTCCCGCCTTTCTCAATCGCTGCGAACTCTGCTTCGTCCAACCCTGCAACCTTCTCCTTCTTCAGCACTCCATTTGCCTCCATTGATAACAACAACTTTCCCGCCTCCAGCTCTACTCCACTCCACATCTCCAGTAGTCGTCCGGGTAGTCCTGCATTCCACGCTGATTCTGCTCCTCCCTCTAACTTCCTCTCCTCCAACACTCCTTCAAATATCCCCATTTCTAGCAAGTTCTCTCCACCCACTTCCTCCAACTTGCCTCCAACACAGCCTAGCGACACCGTTCTTTCTCAGTTCCCTGAGAGTTTTCCTCTTCTCATCTCAACCAGCCGTTCTCCAACACCTTCGTCCAGCACTCTCCCTCAGTCCCCTCCCACCAGCACTCCATCAATATTCATCCCCACCACTTCTCACCCCAGCTTTGTCAACAGTCCCGTTCCTTCTCTGTTGGTCAACAGTCAACCACAAGACCAATTCAGCAACGATTTTGATCGTTCAAAAGTCGCTGACAGTTTTCAACCAACTCTTTTTGAGAATTCTCCACCAAGCCAGTTCGCTACCTCTCTGCCTCCTTCTGAGTTCACCGACACTTTCCCGCCTCAGTTAGGTAATACTCATCCCTCTTCTGAATTTGCCAGCCCTCCCCCATCAAACCATTTCGCCAGCTCTCCCCAAACAAGTCAATTCGCCAGCTCTCCTCCACCAAACCATTTCGCCAGCTCTCCTCCACCAAACCATTTCGCTAGCTCTCCCCCACCAAACCAATTCGCCAGCTCTCCCCCACCAAACCATTTCGCCAGCTCTCCTCCACCAAACCATTTCGCCAGCTCTCCTCCACCAAACCAATTCGCCAGCTCTCCCTCACCAAACCAATTCGCCAGCTCTCCCCAAACAAACCAATTCCCCACCGCTCCTCCATCAAACCAATTCGCCAGCTCTCCCCCACCAAACCATTTCGCCAGCTCTCCTCCACCAAACCAATTCGCCAGCTCTCTTCCACCAAACCACTTCGCCAGCTCTCCCACACCAAACCAATTCGCTAGCTCTTTCCCACTAAACAATTTCGCCAGCTTTCCCTCGCCAAACGAATTCTCCAGCTCTCCCCTACCAAACCATTTCGCCAACTCTGGCTCGCCAAATCAGTTTACCAGCTCTCTTCCACCAAACCAATTCACGGACATTTTTACGCCTCAGTTCACCAACTCTCCACCAGCAAACCAATTCTCCAACACTCTTCCCCCTTCCCAGTTCACAAGCAATGTTCCCACAACCCAATTTCCTAGCACCTTTTCACCTACCCAGTTCTCAAACTCTCTGCCACTTTCTCTATTTGGCAATCGTGTTCCAGCAACTCAGTTTTCCAGCACTTTCCAGCCTCACTTGGCCAACACTCTCTTCCCTTCTCAGTTCACAAATACACTTTTGCCAGATCGCTTCGCAAACAATTTACCACCTTCTCGGTTTCCTAATAATTTTTTGACAAGTCAACTCGGGAACACTTTTCCAGTTTCACAGTTCGCAAATGATCCCTCGCTAACTCAGTTCGCAAATGATCCCTCGCTAACTCAGTTCGCAAATGATCCCTCGCTAACTCAGTTCGCAAATGATCCTTCGCTAACTCAGTTCGCAAATGATCCCTCGCTAACTCAGTTCGCAAATGATCCCTCGCTAACTCAGTTCGCAAATGATCCTTCGCTAACTCAGTTCGCAAATGATCCCTCGCTAACTCAGTTCGCAAATGATCCCTCGCTAACTCAGTTCGCAAATGATCCCTCGCTAACTCAGTTCGCAAATGATCCTTCGCTAACTCAGTTAGTGAATAATCCGTCACCATCTCAGTTCGCCAACACCATACCGTTTCTTCATTTTAGCAACAGCCGGGTCCCCACCTCTCTTTCCCCTTCCCAGTTTGATGGCAGCTCCCCAACAACGCCTTTTGGCAACGCTCCCTTGCCTCAACTTGACAACCCCCGTTCCCAACCCTCAACCCCCCTAAATATAACTGCTAAAACTCACACCAAACGAAAGCCTTTGGCGCGTAGAGGGAGGAAAAGGCCTCCCGTCACCGCCTCGCCGCTCTCTTCCCGCGCTCCCAACCCTGCCGCCTCCTCTTCTCCCAAACCCAAAAAGCGCCCTCGAGCTCGCACACGCAGACCGCCCCAACTAACCCGCGACGCTGGCGGAGATGAGAGTGTGAGTCTACAACTAACTGTCAACCGTGCTCGGGAAATTATTTCTTTGATCTGCTGGTTCATGACGTCATATCCGTCAACATTTGATGACGAAAGATTGACGTCATTGTCACGTCAGAACTTGTGATAAAGGGTCACTGAAATATTTTTCAGAACACTCTTGTTCATTACAGTTTTAGAGTGTTGTGTATAAACGTAATTAACTTATTTTAGTTTAAATAACAAAAGATTGAAGAATTAACTCGTGCTAACAAGCTTACTAAATAGTAGCGATGAGTGACTTAACTATTAATACACTAATCTACCTGATTAATATTATGGAATAATTGTTTGTCTATTAAAGTTAATATTTGTCTAATGCATATGGATATACTTTCTCTCTGCCTGAGTGTTTGACTGTTTATCAATCTGCTTGACTGTTTTTTTTTCTCGCCTGTCTCTTTCCATCCTTCTCTCTGTTTCTCTGTCTCCCTCTCTTCGTCTCTTTCTCTCATACTAACGCCCAATGGTCCATATCATCAGCATTAAAATTCTTATGTTTTTTCTTTTTCTGGAATTGTCTGTCTCCTTATTATCTAGAATTGTCCTTGTTATCTATGGTGACGATATTAATGTAAATAATGATGATAATTACACACACACACACACACACTAGGTGAGGTGCGTTACTAGGTGAGTACACACACACACTATTTTGTTGTTGTTTAAAGATTCAGCTACTAGGAACAAAAAGTTCCAAGCTGCACGGGCTATGGTGAGCCCTGAGTAGACTTACCTGGCACAGGAGCGGAGCTGTAACTCCATGCACACACACACTAGGTGAGGTGTGGTATTAGGTGAGTACACACATACACACACCAGCCAATATCAGAGTAACCTTCAAGAACCTAGAAAAAGAGGCCGTCAGAACACTATATACATCCTACGTAAGATCAACCTTAAGTATGCAGCCTCGATATGGAATCCACATGGAGGGATAAATTATATTAGAATTATAATAATTCCACAACGACCAAAACTTCTCCTACGCTGGCACCACAACCATCTATATATTGCTTGTGCAACCAATCATCAAGCCTAAATGCTCGTCGAACTGACCGGCCTCAAAATATTGTCCAAATGCTCGTTAGTCCAGCAGCCAAACATTACCTCCTCCCCCCCCCCCCCCCCCGACACACCTCTGTTTACACCCCTGCTATAACACACAAGTTGTCTACAGACCAAGCTCGTCCATGCGGCGGCCGATCCCAAAGACGTATTCATCAATGAACACGCATTGTGTATTCAAAATCGTTTTTTCTCGTATATAAATTAATATTATTATAAATTACAATTTAATGTATAGTAAGGTTAGGTTAGGTGTTTGGGTTCTGTTGGCGATTATTTGTTGTTGTAGTATGTGGTGTATGCATTTACAGAAATGCAGATCGAACAGTGGATATGAGCGAAGCACTGTTCGAGAAAAATTCGAACGACATCAGTTGTGAATCTTTATAAACATTTGCGAAAGGCTTGTTGATTCAAAACAAACGACATAATTAATAAATAACTCAAAGATGATATGGTTTCGTTTCATGAAAAGTTCTGTTATAAGTTCTTCTAATTCTATTTCTCCCTCTTACCCATCCTCCCCACCCCTCTCTCTGTCTCTCTCTCTCTCTCTCTCTCTCTCTCTCTCTCTCTCTCTCTCTCTCTCTCTCTCTCTCTCTCTCTCTCTCTCTCTCTCTCTCTCTCTTTCTCCCTCTCTCTCTCTCTCTCTCTCTCCACTGTCCTTGAACACATTAGTGCAGCCAGTGTTGCCTCTCATCACTACCATGCTCACCTTCAGGGCGCGCTAGGGAAGGCAGGAGACAGAGGTGGGGCAGAGCCCATGGAGAACGACCCGGACGGTGACAAGATACCAGGGCGAGGCGGCGTGGACTACCCCGGACTGGAGAGGATCCCAGAGACCGGCTTCCTCTGCACCCCGAGCTTGTTCAAGTCCACCAAGATGTTCGCCGACCCGGAGACGTCTTGCCAGGTTGGTGCTAGCTGCTCACCGACTGAGAGTCTTTATTTCCTATTTGTGCCTGCAGGATCAAGCTGCTATAGGTCTTGGACCCCCGCCTTTCTAATTTTCAGTTATCTATTGTACTGATTCCCGACCTATTTAGTGTTACATATATCTTTTTTTCTTTCATACACACATATACACACACGCGACCCCAGAATGCACCCGACCACAGCTGTTTAAATCCCAGGTAGATATTTACTGTTGCTGAACAGTTGCATTAAGTGAAAGAAAACATTCACCTATTCTTACATCCTGCCACGGGGATTGAACCCGTGATCACTGGTTGTGAGTCGACGACTAGACCCACTGGACCACAGGGCCCTGTGTGTGGCTGGGGTGTTACGGGAGGTGTTCGGATGTTAGTGTGTCTTGCGCTGGAACCAATCGTATTGGCCTTTCCATTGGAGACATTTGGCGCCGTGGAGAAGGGGGGACCTGCTGCCTGGGTAACAGCTTCTCCCCCGAATCAACCTACCCAGGCTTTGCGCCCTGGTGAGGCCACTTCAGATCAGGCCAACACCAGAGCGCAAATAGTCTCCTGAGACTGATGGATGCCTACTACTACTACTACATTTAGCACTTTGCACATTGGTGAGCCGTGAAGGGGAGGTGGGGGGAACCTGCACCGTGTCTCTCCT